TTAAATGGGTCTGTTAATATTCCATTTCTAGGGACGCGACTGACTACTGTACTATCTGTGTTAGACATTTATTGGCCTTGGAATAATAATCTGATGCTTATGACAGGACTACCAGGGATACTTTGTTATACAAAATTGCAAATAAATATAAAATTAGTTTTCAATCAATTTTAATAAAAAATTGCAAAGCAGAATTTCCTAGAATTTTCTGTTTTAGAGTTAAAAATATTTACAGAAAATCAGAGTTATTATAGTTTAAATTAATTGAAAATATAATTTTTAATAAATTTGTCAGTTTTAACAAAAATTGCAAAGCAGAATTTCCTAGAATTTTCAGTTTTATAGAGTTAAAAATATTTACAGAAAATCTGAGTTATAGTTAACTAGGACTAAAATTAAATGAAAATATATTTTTTTCAATTTTAATAAAACTTTTCATTTTTAATAAAAATTGCAAAGCAGAATTTCCTAGAATTTTCTGTTTTATAGTTAAAAAACATTTACAGAAAATCAGAGTTATTATAGTTAATTAAAATTGAATGAAAATATAATTTTTCATTTGTAATAAATTTTTCAGTTTTAATAAAAATAGCAAAGCAGAATTTCCTAGAATTTTCTGTTTTAGAGTTAAAAATATTTACAGAAAATCAGTTATTATAGTTTAAATTAATTGAAAATATAATTTTTAATTTGTAATACATTTTTCAGTTTTAATAAAAATTGCAAAGTAGAATTTTCTCAGTTTTATAGAGTTAAAAAACATTTACAGAAAATCAGAGTTATTATAGTTTAAATTAATTGAAAATATCATTTTTAATTTGTAATAAATTTTTCAGTTTTAATAAAAATTGCAAAGTAGAATTTTCTCCGTTTTATAGAGTTAAAAAACATTTACAGAAAATCAGTTATTATAGTTTAAATTAATTGAAAATATAATTTTTTATACATTTGTCCGTTTTAATAAAAATTGCAAAGCAGAATTTCCTAGAACTTTCTCCGTTTTATAGAGTTAAAAAAAGAAGAAACTCCATCTCAAACACGGGGTTATCATGATGACCCACCATAACGAAGTAAAAACTCCCCGACATCGTTAATAACAGTATGTAGAGCTGTAAACACGAAACCAGCAGTCGGTTATTGAATATTAATGCACATGAACATGTAAACACATCTCACCACCGCAATAATGAAGTCAGTTCGGCGTTTTTGTTTCAGAAATTATACATTCTAAAAAAACACCTCCTTGAAATAAACACTAATTATGTAAGTCACAAAGCGAATATTGTGAAAATGAACTCAATCTAAACTGAATTATGAGGATCAGACGCGATCATCACAACAGTTCCGGTTTCCGGTGGGTTGACCCAGCTGACACCAAACAGCCAATGAGAGCGCTGAGCGAGTGTTACGTCATTAGGACGAATCCGGAAACACAACAGTTTGTTGTTGTCTTTTGATCAGCGGTTTAATAACTGTTTACTTTTAGTACTTCAGCTATTTAATAACAACAAAGGATTATTAATGACGTACACCGAATTTCACCTAAGTTACACCTAAAGAATTTGCGATAGTTATAGGAGCGATACCAACAGGAATCTGTATGCTTAAAAAAAAATTGCATTTATTATTTTCCTACAATTACTTCTTTGCCCGAGCCGATTGAAACCCCAATAGGTCAAATATGTTTTTCAAAAAAAAAAAAAAAAAGATAGAAATAATAAAGCTAGATCTCTTTCTAGGAGATATTATTTCTGCATCTCCTGCAATCTATTATTGGAACAATAAAAAAAAAAAAAAAAACCTAAACTGGAAAAAGATTTGGTCCTTACAACAAAAATATGTTCTTACTAATAAAATAAAAGAAGTATCTTTTAAAATAATGAATAAATTTGACCCTGCTAAATATTTTATGACTAAATATAAAGCTAATATTGATACAAGATGCTATTTTTGCCAAGTTTTTATACTGAACAACTTTAATATTTGCTGCTCGAGAAACATTTCTGATTATTATCAACAGTTGAGCTGCCGAATATTTTTGTGGAAACTCTGACATTCAAAAGTAAGATTATTAATACACTTTTATTAATCAAGGAAGCATTAAAGTGATCAAAATAAACAGTAAAGACATTTATAATGTTCCAAAAAAATTCTATTTCAAATAAACGCTGTTCTTTTGAGCTTTCTATTCATCTGTGAATCCTGAAAAATCACGGTTTCCACAGAAATATTGTGCAGCACGACTGTTTTCAACATTGATAATAATCAGAAATGTTTCTTAAATCAGCATATTATACTGATTTCTGAAGATCATGTGACACTGAAGACTGGAGTAATGATGCTGAAAATACAGCTTTGATCGCAGAAATAAATTACAGTTTAACAGATATTCACATAGAAAACAGCTGTTTTAAACAATAATAATATTTCACAATTTTTACTGTATTTTTGATTAAATAAATGCAACCCTGCTGAGCAGAAGAGACTTGTTTCAAAAACATTAAAGACCGGTATTGTGTGCTTGTGTTATATATGCACCACTGTGGAAAAGAAGGAATCTCCTCACTGAGGACACATACATTTTCTATCTAAATTTTTAGCATATTTAACACAGATGTTTTCTGCTAAAATCCACCCCAAAATGCAAAAAAGTCTGGATTCCTTTCAGTCATATTAAACGTCATGAAAAAGTCTACCAAAATTTCCGCTGAGAGAAAAACGCCATCGAGAGGTTACAGAAACATCAGGAGGTACAGAGTCTCACTGCTGTCAGTGCAAAATACTAAACAGCTGTTGAACCTTTAATGTTCTGCGATTGATCCAGATCGAGGAAAAGGAGATTTATGCTGAAAGACCTGGAGTCTGTGCAGAGCCGAGAGGCGGAGCTTAAACAGTGAGTACAGCTACTTGTGTTCAAACATACAAAAAACTATTTTCAATGTGGAGCAGTTTAAGTTAAAGTACTAATATTACTAAACTGAAATAAAAACAAATATATGACAAAAACACATAAACATTAGTTAACACGAACTAAGCATGAACAGTACTTCTACAGCATTTATTAATCTTAATGTTAATTTCAACATTTACTGATGCATTATTAAAATCAAAAGTTGTGCTTGTTAACATTAGTTAATGCACTGTGAGTTATCATGAACTAACAGTGAACCACTGTATTTTCATTAACTAACATTAACAAAGATTAATAAACACTGTAATAAATGTATTGTTCATTGCTTGCTCATGTTAGTTAATGCATTAACTAATGGAACCTTATTGTAAAGTGTTATAATATCTTGAATTTTGCCGTAATGATGCAGAAGCTGTAAGCTGCATGAAGAGAGGAGAAGGGGAAGACCGTGGATGATCTTCTGAGGAGGAGAGAGCTGTCAGTGAAGACCATGGAGGACACGTTTGACCAGAAACTGAAGAGCGTGAAGAGTTAGTGAAGAAAGTCTTCCTCTTCATGTTTAATGACTGTTATTCACCAGTCCTGCAGGTGGCGCTCTTCTGACTCACGTTACAATCCTTGATGAAAGACCAACTTTCGTTTTCTAGTTAAAATACACTACTCTTCAAAAGTTTGGAGTCAGATCTGATTATTTTTAAGGAATTAATGCTGTTTTTTTTAAGTAAGGATGCATTAAACTGGCAGTAAAGACATTTATAATGACACAAAAGATTTCTATTTCAAATAAATGCTGTTCTTAACTTTCTATTCATTAAAGAATCCTGAAAAATAAAACGTATCACAGTTTCAACAAAAATAACTGTTTTCAACATTGATAATAATCAGAAATGCTTCTTAAATCAGCATATTATACTGATTTCTGAAGATCATGTGACACTGAAGACTGGAGTAATGATGCTGAAAATACAACAAAGATTAATAAACACTGTAATAAATGTATTGTTCATTGCTTGCTCATGTTAGTTAATGCATTAACTAATGGAACCTTATTGTAAAGTGTAACGACTAAAATTAAAACAAAAACTGAAAAAATCAAAAACATTCTTATATTATATAAATAATACTAAAATAGCACTGCTATCAACAGATTTGGTATTGTAAACTAACACTATTAAAAATGGTTTTGGGTTATTGAAATAAAGCTGATGTAAAGTAAAATACAAATATTAGATGAAAAACGTAATGAAAATTTGAAATTTGAAATGTTGCCTTGGCAGCTAACTTAAATAAGTTTAAGATGAAGTGCTAATATTATTAAACTAAAACTGAAATAAAAATAAATAAACACTAATAAAAACAAACATATGACAAAATCACATATCAAATTCAAATGAAAACTGAAAAAGAAAGATTCAAAATATTGATAAAAATAAAAGCAAGAATGACAAAAACAAAATTATGAACACTTTAAAATCAAAATAAAAACTGAAAATATCAAATTCTAAATATTTCTAAATATTGTAATAATATATAAATACTAAATAACACTGCTATCAACTGTTTTTCATTCAAACTAAAATGAAAATGAAAATTGAAAGTATAAAAATAAAAAGCTTAAAATAAAAAAAACTAATAAATAAAAATAAAAACAAACATGACAAAATTACATAACAAATTTACTAAAAATGTAACTAAAATTAAAATAAATTTAAAAAAATATATATATAAAAATAACCGATCAAGGGAAATGTAATTCCTCGTGACATGAGCCCTTTCACTGTTGATTGTAATATCATGAATATTATGGAACATCTTATATAATATCTTGAATTTTGCCGTAATGATGCAGAAGCTGTAAGCTGCATGAAGAGAGGAGAAGGGGAAGACCGTGGATGATCTTCTGAGGAGGAGAGAGCTGTCAGTGAAGACCATGGAGGACACGTTTGACCAGAAACTGAAGAGCGTGAAGAGTTAGTGAAGTAAGTCTTCCTCTTCATGTTTAATGACTGTTATTCACCAGTCCTGCAGGTGGCGCTCTTCTGACTCACGTTACAATCCTTGATGAAAGACCAACTTTCGTTTTCTAGTTAAAATACACTACTCTTCAAAAGTTTGGAGTCAGATCTGATTATTTTTAAGGAATTAATGCTGTTTTTTTTAAGTAAGGATGCATTAAACTGGCAGTAAAGACATTTATAATGACACAAAAGATTTCTATTTCAAATAAATGCTGTTCTTAACTTTCTATTCATTAAAGAATCCTGAAAAATAAAACGTATCACAGTTTCAACAAAAATAACTGTTTTCAACATTGATAATAATCAGAAATGCTTCTTAAATCAGCATATTATACTGATTTCTGAAGATCATGTGACGCTGAAGACTGGAGGAATGATGCTGAAAATACAGCTGCGCATCACAGAAATAATTTACAGTTTAACACATATTCACATAGAAAACAGCTGTTTAAATTATAATAATATTTCTGATCAAATAAAAACATTAAAACGTCTCACCGACCCTAAACTGTGGAGTGGAACTGTGTGTTTTAGTAAAGTGAAACCGTAAATGAATGTATGTTTGAATCATATTTATAGAAATATTGTAAACTGTTTTAGATATCAGCTGGAGCTGAAGGAGGATTACACGAAGAGAGCCGAGAAACTGAGCCAAGATGAGAAAAGAATTAAAGGCATGTTTAGAAAAGTCGAATATAACCGCTGCAGTATATAGTCTATCTGGACTGTAGAGTTATTGTTGAGGTTTTGTTTTCCCATTAATAATAATAATAATTACTCAAAAGTGAAACAGATGCTTTACAATAATGCACATTTTTGGGGAAATGTTGGAAAAATTATATTCGATTTTTAATAATAATAATCAGAAGAAGAATTTGGGGGAAATGTTCTTAACTGTGCAAAAAACAAAGAATATTATGTTATATTATATTGTATATTTTATTGTATTGTATTATATCTTTAATACATTTTATAGTAATAATAATGATGATAATAGTAATAATATTTACCTGGAAGTGAAAGATTTAGATACTTTATGATAATGAAAATTTTTGGAGAAATGTTGGATTTTTTTTTTTACATTTTTAATAATAATAATAAGAAGAAGAATTTGCGGGAAATGTGCTTAATCGTGCAAAAAAACCATCAAGAATATTATATTGTATCGTATCGTAACGTATTAATTATATTATATCTTTAATACATTTTATAGTAATAATAATGATGATAATAATAATATTTACCTGGAAGTGAAAACATTCAGATACTTTATGATAATGAAAATTTTGGGAGAAATGTTTGGAAATTATATTACATAAAAAAAAAAAAAAAATAATATGGTATTAATAACAACAACAACTATTATAATTATTGTTATTACTCAAACAAAATGATTTTCTTGTTTGCAGAAGAAACGGTTCGTCTGCCGAAGGAA